ACAATAACTACAACCAAGTATTTGTGTTTATTTTAACTTAATGTTCGATTTCGTAAAACAGTGAATACTTCTGGTAATGACAAGTTACAATGATATCAATAATGGCGAAATACAACACTGGAATATACCACCCAAACAAATAGTCACAGAAATTAAAGGATTAAAACTAAGACAAAAGAGATGACAATTGATTTTGAACAAGCAATGAGATCCTCTAGGAGGATTAAAAAGATAAACTGAGTAATTCTCACATATTTATATGTATTTTACGATTGATAAGTTTTAGTCACATTGATCAGGAGATGGAAGTGTTCAATACTGATTTGGACAGAATGAATAGGTGTTAAATGTTAAGAACTACTAACACAAGCTCAAATTAATCGATTTTTGTCCATATGTCTATTGCATATCGAAATTCAGCAATTAATTTGCTAATGTTATGTCAAATAAAAATACAAGACCACGACAACAATATATAAAATACCTTGGAATCGTTCAAGTGCGCGTAGTCTTTGCTTCTGAATCATATCAGCATGTAAGACATTTACATACTGTAGTGATGGATATCCAGATACCAAAAAAGCATCTGAAGTGAGCAACTGACGTAATACTCCAGCTAATCGACGTACGCCAGATTTACTATTTAGAAAAATCAAGCACCGTCGATTGGGATACTCTGAAGATCCAAGATGACGGCCAAATGCAATGAACCAAAATAGTCGAATATCTTTGCTTGCCTGGTCTGGACATAACAACCGACATTCAGAAAGGCTATCAGGGCAAGTTGATTGACAGACTAAGCCGGGATTTGAAGCTGATTGATTAGTGGAATGGTTTGATGATAAATCGATTACTTTAGCAGATTTTTTCAAACCGAACATTTCACGTAGTACCGCTGAAAGTATAGAAGAACAAATGATCAACTTTATCCAGTAACCATAAAAAGACAAAAGTATTAAACTTTGTATAGAATATGCATTAGAGAAAGGGTAGAAATGCGATGGCACAAAACTAGTGACAAGAATGATATTGTAAGCCAGAAAACCGATGTGATATCTCATCAGTGATCGAATAAAAAATGGTTGACCAGAATTTAAAGATAATTGATGTGGTCAGTCTGTCCAATCTCCATGTCCAACTTACCCAGCGATGCATGCTGGTTTTGAGGCAGTGTTGTATTTAGAAGAACAGATACATACCCCGAACATCCTCACATTACTACTTAAGGTATTCATAAGATCGTGATGTGTTCATGTTCTTACTACAGGCAGAGCTATGTCATTCGTATACAACAAGCAAAAACAAAGACTTTTCGAGTAAAAAACAATTAGCAAAATATTAGATAAAGTTATATTTGTCTCTCCAGGTTTGTTTGTGACAATGTTTAGTCAAAGTGAGTAGTAGAGAGGCTTGATGAACAATAATTGACATAGTGACTTTAGACGATAGTTTGCCATTAATTCTTGCTAGATCAATATTTGTCATCAGACAACCTTTAGCAGGGTAATGTACTACTTCTTTGATAAGCCTATATAATGTTTGTATAAAATAACAATTGTTTTGTACATATTTAACAGCGTAATCCTAAGTTAAATACAATATAAACAAGCGTGTGTACACTGTATCCTCTGTTTTCAGTTTTGACCCAGTCGCGACTATTAGAGTACATACTGATTAGATATAGGAGTTGACTAGATCGCATATTACATTCAATAATACTACCGTTGATACTACCATTTCCAAGCATCTTGGTTGTTCTATAATATAAAGTGTTATAAAACCTATTCATCAATGAAGTACGTACAACAGATAAAGACGATGCAGAATAATACAATAAACTCTTTGTATTGAATAATAATAGCCCCCAAATGCCCTGGTACGGCCGACAGTGGGGAGAGTCAGCTGTCCCTCACGAAATGCTCTCACATGGTCACGCGTATATAGCCTCTCCCAGGGAAGTCCTACTCATTGCCTTATCGCACCACGGGTGTTCTTCACGAAATTGACAGGACGAAAAGCAAATGTAAACCGCATTAACCAGGTTGGTGGACAAACAGAGTCTACCTAGGGGAGGTGGATAACCTCCATTCCAAACCAAAAGTGCACATGGGTTGTCTCCAGTATCCTGAGGGAACAAATGGAGTATGAACTAATTGTTGGTCACCGGCTACCATGGGACTGCATCTACTTATGTTGCTCCATTGCATTGTGGATCAGACCATTAGGTCGAAGGCTCCGGGTGTGGCCTCCAAAGAAAACTACCTTCTTCAGTTTGGACACCCCGGCAGTATCATAGCCCTCACAAAAATCAAATGAGATTTGTGTGGCGCATATGTGTCTCTTGCCCCCTTGTACCAGTATTTATGTATTCAAATAAAATAAAAATAATAATATTCATGACAATTAATAATTTAAACAAAAAAAAAGCATAAACCTTACCAAGTTTTATTTTCTTAGTCATAGTATTTTTATTGTTTGGTAAAAGTTTGTGATTTTTAGATCCAGTACCTGGTTTTAATGCACCACTATGTACAAATGTAAGAGTAGCTGAAAAAATTAATGTTTGTCGTTGTACTTTCATCATATCCGTAGAATTATCTGACATTTCAACTGATTTATGCTTTCTCTTTAGATTTAATGTTTTCTTCAAATGTGTTTGAATATTTGTTGTAGTTTCCTGATCTTCTTCTTCGCCTTCATTATTAGAATTTGATGATGAATGTAACCAATTGAAAATTGAACGTAAATCATCAAAATGATTCGCTTCAATCATTCGATCAGCTTCATCAACTACAACTACATTAACATTATGTAATGTCAGAACATGAGGATCACCCTTGACAAAAAAAGTAAATGAACAAAACATTTCTTATAGATACTGAAGTCGAACTAGGGGTTTCGAAATATAAAAATTGAAAAACCATATAATTCATAGTCATTACATTAGAGTTTATGTCACTCAATGAAGAAACAATTGTAAAAGTATTTAAGAGATGGTTTAACGACCCCTAAATGCCCTGATATGGCCGAGAGTGGGGTGGGCCCGTCCTCCCTCTCGAAATGCTCCCACACGCCCACGCGTATACAGTCTCTGCCAGGGAATTCCTACTCACTGGCTTCTTGTGGCGGGGGTGTTGTTTACGAAAATTAGAGGACGAAAAGCGAATGTCCGGCGTTTTAACCGGATCCCAAACCAAATCAATAGTGCACATGGGCTCCAGTATCCTGCGGGAACAAATGGCGTATGAACCAATTCCTTGGTCATCGGCTACCATGGGACTACATCTCCGCACGATGCTCCACTGCCTTGTAGGTTAGACATTTAGGTCAAACGCTCGGGGTGTGGACACCTAAGAAAACCACCTGCTTTAGTCTGGGCACCCGGGCAATATCACAGCCCTCACACAAAAGTGTGGCGCATACATATTTGGTGCATTCTTGTACCAATATTTATGTGTTCAAATAAATAAATCAGTCAATCAGTCAGTCAGCTACAACGTAGGATCAGGCACATATGTGCATCGGTCCAGGTTGCCATACCGCATCAGCACAAGATGAACACCGGATTCATAGAAGTGGTTAGGTCAAAGGTGGTAATATATAAGAGAAAGATTGCATATAGAGATATAGTTCAAGAAGAAAAAATTGGTTCGTAGAAAGAAAGATATGAAGCGATTTTAATCTCTTAGTTTAAGGGAAGACAGGGAGTGTATACACCGACGCCATTGTGATCGATTCTGAGCCATGTCACCAAGAGTCTCCAAGCATTGGTTACGACAGTCATTGTTTCTTTACTTATTCAGTGAAACGGGAACGAAATTGTATTTTGGTTCAAAGCACATTCCGGGGTGCGTGGTCTATCGCTGCGCGCTTCTGTATCTTGGTCATGTCAGATGAGTCGTGGTGCAAATAAATAAATAAATAAAGATAGTTTAACGAGCAGTAATCTTTTTATCCAAAGCAGTCTGGAAGACGATCTTAATAACAAATGTGGGAAAATGCACATTATTTCAAGTGCTCTAAACAAATCAAACTGGTAATACTTGGGAACCGGATTTGAAACAACTTAACAAGTTTACGCACTCGGCTTTGAGTCACATAATTTGTGCAAGGTCTAATTAGAGCCTCCCAAATAGATATAGAGTGAAAATGTAGTTTGAAAATGTAGTCTATTGACTGAAGTGTGAGTGACTTGGTCAATAAGCTATCGTAACTCAATCCAAACTTCGCGAAAACAAATGATCGGTTAGTTTTTGTGTTTACAACACTTGATTAGAATATGAAGTGAATATTTACAGGGGTTAGAAATATTCTTATCTTACACATTCTATAAAACAGATGATAATTAGCTCCAAATGTCGAAATCCATTAAACACGGTAAAAAAACACTTTTATAGGGGAAAGATACTGGCTGAAGCAAAAACAATGAACTCGTTTTTTGAACTAACCTGAAACTCAATACTCAACGAAATGTCAAGTTTTTATTTAAGTCATAAGAAATAAGTACTTGGAGGACTGAATGACGTTAAACCCATATATTATTGTTGCCAAACACCAGACACTCTGGTTTGGAATCAATGTCAGCGACTACATTCAACCAAATATTTATTTTATATCATAAATCGAAGATGTTAATTTCATATTTTTACTTGTACTTCATTTTGTCATAGAAAGGAATACATTCATTCGAAAACCAAGCAAAGATTTATACAGTAGGTTGGAGGTAGTATCATCAAAATGTCTAAACCTTGGTAATATGAAGAAGAGCTCGAAACCACAACCCAATGGTTATAAGTCGAGTATGTAAAACATTAAAATACAGTTAAGTATTTTAGTTGTAAATACTTGTTTCCCCTCTACCATTATGATTACAGTAAATGATTTCATTAAAGCTAGTCCACTTGGAGGAAAACAAACCAACTAGCTGAAATAAATGAAGGGATAATCTATGAGGTTCTTTTTGATAATTTGTAAATTATCCAATAATTCTTTTTCTTATTCAATTCTGATGTCTTGTCCTCATTACAAATCAAACTTCTACAAATGGCTCAATTTTATTAATCAATCTATACAAGACACAAATAAATAAAAAGAACTAACTTGTTGAATAAAATGCCATAGTCTTCCCGGAGTAGCAACAAGTATATCCGGACAACGTCGAAGAAGTCGAAGCTGTTTATCAACTGATATTCCACCAACGATAGTTTCAATACGAATACAATCGACATATCGCATTAAAGCACGAATATGTTGTGTAACCTATATTTACTCGAGGAAAAAAATGACCACTAATGAAAACACTGACTTAAACGTACTAGCAAAGTCTAAACATAAAGCAGGAACGGAAATAAGAGCTATGGGTAAAATAGTGGCAAAGGACCAAAATAAACACATGTTTAGACTTGATAGAGATTACAGATTGAAAAATCTGTTGTCAGTAGAACTATCGCGGATGAAGATAAAAGAGGTAATTGTGATGATACGAAGACGTTGAGGAATACTTCAACTGGTTTCCAACAATCCCTCAGTTGGGCAACACTCACCAAGATCTTGTAGGAGATGAACAACGATTTTTAGTGATGTTGGTTTAGGAGCGCCAGTTAGACTTTAATACTATCGATGGTTTGGACGTTAAGATAACTGTATTATGTGGGTTGTGATTACTAACTATTCCATTTTATAAGAACGAATGGGAATATCATATGAATTTGGTTAATATAGTGTGAGAAACTGGCTTTCATAATTATCTGACGTTCAAATGGAGCTCAAGAACTGTGATCCCAGAAATAGGCAGGTTTCAAACCTAACTGTGGATATGCAAACCACATATTTACCCTTTTACGGGTTTTAAAGCACAAACATATCTCTCGCGGCCCGACAGTAGTATTTTCTAGCCCAAAGGTTAGAGGTGGATCCGACAATTGAGATTTTATGGTACTATATATCAGTGAAAAGCATGTCAAAGGTGTACGCTAACGTGTTAAAGACTTGTTGATCGAAGAGTATTGGTCGAGTAAGAATTTTTAACGAGCCGTTGATGATGATGATCATGATAAGAATGCAAAGGATTAACTCGAGTTTTGCTTGTTTGCACCACTTTTATTACAGACGAGATATAATATCGAGGAAGAGGGCGAGTTTACATCAGTATGATTTACAAAGCGTGGACTGTGAAGGTCAAGAACGTGTGCAAGTTTCCAGCAACTAATGGTAAATGTCTTTCAGATAGCGCTCTTGAGTATAGTGAAATTAAGAAGTGACTAATACTGGTTTTCGGTTTGTTTTGTTAGATAAGGATGGTTGATGCGCGTACTAGCCTTCATTAACTAGAGTAGTTAGGTATCACACATCTTCACCCATTGTTAATTCGTGCTATGCTGGTTACTATCGAATTGGCCAAGTAAAGATGCAGAACTAATTCACAGCTACATCTTCTGAACGTTTCGCTTTTTGTTTTGTTACTTTCTTCTTTCTGTGTTGATGTGAAGGGTTACAACTAGGACTGTTACATATTTGTACCAGATCATACGTTGTTCTATGACTGACCGAAAGATAACGGTTTATTAGTCTTGATTTAACACCTTATTTAACTGCAAGCTAAAGTGATTGGTGACTCTAGACATAAAAAGCAACTGTACATAAACATCTTAATACAAGATCCGGTTTAGATAAATAACGACCTTATGAGAATATTTTTCAGTGTGAAGTGCATTATTAGGACAGATATATAGAAAAAATGAACGAAAATTGGAAACAAATTGTAAAATAACCGAGATATGAGTATAGGGGGATATTACATGTGAACAAAATCAAGTTTGCAAATCGTCAAAAATGACTAGAAAGGAAACTTTCTTTAGAATAAAACTCTTTCATACTTGAATAGCTAATTCCCTGGTGGGAACTAGAACAAGCCCATAAACACGATTCCTTTTTGAATTCGGTTCAAAACAAACAGGAGATTTGGTAATTGGAAGTGTTTCAGGATCTGCTGTAACAGGATCGCCAAGGGAATGGACTGCGCGAATTTCTCCAGTATTTACATCTAACTCTTCTATGACATCTAAACCTGAATAAATGTCGGTTTCCTTCTTTTTTTTCTTCCTTTTCCCACAAGGTTTGACGCAAGATGCCACTTCGCATTTTTGTCGATCAATCAAGCTATTAATTTTGGACTCTTCTTCACAAGTCTGGTTCTGGAAAACAAATTTACAATGAAGTACACGATGAAAATCGCAACGAAGCTTTTGGCTAGATATCATTTATGAACGTTTGCATCATAGCTTAAATAAATTTAGTCACTGATGATTTCGTTACAACATACCAGGAGTATCAGAATTTGAATTAACTACCACGTTCCCTTATCGGGATATGACTCATTCTACAATCTTGTACAGTAGACACCACCTATCGCGACTTTTCCACAGCCTTTGAAAGTTCCTATTATTCTTGTTATTATCACAAACATAAAGCAAATAAAGTACCTTTACAAGATGTAAATGTAAGTAAACTATACAGACAATACTAAGTCGACTAATCAGATTAAGGATTGGTTTCTATGGAGAATTCTCGGTAGTTGGAGATATCTGGCATCCTGTGTGAAGAGCTTTGTAAAAACTTGGCAGAACTTACAGATATTTTGCTACCTAGACGCTGAAAATTGGCAGATATGAGGAGCCAAAAGACGCGGGACAATTGTAAGCACCTCTTAGAATGACCAGAGGAAAATTATCATATTTTCGAAAAATTGATAAAAAAAGCTGGGATTTTCCAAAGTAGCCTGAAAATCCTTGGAGCGGTATTCTACTTCATAGGAGAACCAAACAGATTTGATACAGTCTCGTATATATGCGCGAAATTAACTTAGTCATATGACTAAACAGCGAAAATGTTTAATAACATTAACCTGCTTCGGTTTGGGCACCCAGACAGAATCACAGCCTTCGTACAAACCAATGATAACCACTACCGTAAAAATTTCTCTTGCTTCAACGCTCGCTTAGACAAGTCTTATTCACAATCACATGATAACATTCGTTTTTATTTCTTTTGTACTACGTCACTTATGTATTCCCCTTTATTCTCATTTTACGCATTTCATTTTTCTACTTATACAGCAACTCACCTATGGTGGGAGCCCTGTCCTATCCAAACGATCTCAAGTCACTAACTGGTTGAAAGCTGGATACTACCACCAAATACGAATACTGAACTAGTCTTTCTAAAACCACATATACCATTCAAACTGATGTCTTTCAACGTTCGCTTACTAATGCAGATCGGACAACAGATAGGGTTGTTTGTGTCTTTAGAAAGTCTCAATATCGATATATGTTGTTGACCCGAGACCTGTATTCAAGCCTCTAGTGAAGCACCACAAATTCTTTCTCCATCTGTCGCTTCGAAAAGCTTGTTTCACATGCGTTTATTCGAGGGCCCAGTGGTATCTTTATCCGGTTTCGCTGGCGTTCGTGTCGCACTAAGCGTTAGAGCTGAGGCAGTACTGATCGACTGGATCCCAATCAACAGTCGGTTATATGCTATTAGATTGGAAAGTTCCATCAAAATGAGAAGAAATCGGTGTGAGAAACTATGTCTTTTTGTCATCGCCTATGCTCCGACAGATTGCAGCCCGAATGTGACCAAGCATGTTTTACCACCAGCTGACTGTTCTTCTACAGAAAGTGCGTTCAACAGATATTGTAGTACTGGCTGGATACTTGAATGCTCAGGTGCTCAGGGGCGTCTAGGCACAGGAGAGTCGCATAGACAAGTATTGGTTGCGATTGCATGACACCACGAAAATGGGGAGTAAAGTCGCTTTCGCCTTCGCGAGACGTATCACTTATAAGCACTGGTTTTCTTCAGGCCCTTTACAACTTATTGAAGCCCGTCAGTTTACTTCGGATGACCGTGAGTTTGACCACAAAAGACGACTGTTACGTAATGAAATTAGGCAAAGCTTGCGCAAGGACCGAGAAGCCTGGTGGTCAGAGAGCGCCAACGTGTTGGGAGCAGAAACTGCATCTGGTAAATGCCGGAAGCTATTTCAACCTATCTGAATCAGTGACGGTGAGAAGTTTAGTGTGAGCAAAACAATCTGTGAAGATGATGGGATGCCAGTCACTAACGTCTATCGGCGTCTTGGACGATGAGCGGTTTTTCGAGGAATAGTTCAACTAGTCTGCTGCCCTGAAGAAATCGATCAGACTGTCTTGACTTCCATGACCTGTAATGACTAGTCCACTTAATGAGGCAGAAGTCCGCAAAGGACTCCAACTCTTGAAGCGCCACAAACCACCAGACCATACGACCTACCTCCGGCCTTTTTTAATGAAGGTTGCGACTTTCTGGTTATAGAATTGACTAAGTTATTCACAAAGTTAGGCAATTACAGTATTCCAACATCGTGTGATGAGTTGGTAGTTCACATCGTTTCTTCAACAACTATCGAGGGATAAGTCTACTTCTGACTGTATCCAAACTATTGGCTTCCGTCATGCTTCGTAGGTTGTTCAAAACTCGGGAAAGATTGACTTGAGAGAAGCAAGTTGGTTTTCGTTCTGACAGAAGATTTACAGATATCTTCACTCTCCGCCAAATGTTAGGACACCGTCATACTTGTCACAGGTCAACATTCTTAGTGTTTCTTGACATCAGAGCCGCCTTTAATCCACTGGACAGGATTGTTCTCTGGGACTATATGTTGCAGAAGGGTGTGCCTGCGAAGATTATTCACACCATAGAAACTTTTATATCAAAACGCCTCAGGCAGAGTGAGGGCATACAACCACCTCTCACCATTGTTTCATTCAAGTAATGCTTAGGTAATGTTGCCCAATCTCACCGTTCCTCTTCAACTTTATTATCGACGACGTTCTGGAAACGGCTTTGGTGGATATAGGTAACGGTGGTGTGGATCTGTTGCCTGTAGAGGCTTCTCGACTTAGAGTATGCGGTTGATATTGTCTTACTGAGCGATGATACACTAGCCATGAAATCCGCACTTCATCAGTTGGCAATCAGTGTCCGTAGGTATGGTACGTGCTTTTCACCTTCTAAGTGCAAAGTACATTCACAAGACTGGCAAGACCATGATCCTGCACTCACCCTGGGTAGTGAACAGATAGAAGTAGTCGAGAAATTCGTGTATCTGGGTAGCTACGTAAGTGTTGGCGGTGGCGTGAGCGATGAGATCAATTCAAGTATAGTGAAAGTCAGAGCGGCTTCTGTCAATCTGGGCCATCTTTGGAGCCTTTATGACAGTAGTCTGGTTACAAAAGTTCGGATCTACAGCGCGTTGGTGAGATCAGTTTCGCTCTGTGTTTGTGAAGCCTGACCTCTCCAAGTTGAGGATGTTGGACCACTCTCTGTATTTGGCCGTCATTGCCTCCGAAGGATTGCTAACACCCAATGGTAGTACCACGTTAGTAATGCAGAGGTTCAGCACCTTGTGTTCGGGCACAGCGACGATTATTCAATCGGTGTCACTTTCATGAAACATCGACTTCGGTGACTTGGTCATGTTCTACGAATGTCGTCCCAGAGAATTCCACATCATGCATTATTTACCGACGCTGGGACTGGTTGGAGAAGGCGTTCAGTGTATGACACGATGTTGTGGTATTAAATTAAGCTGTACAGGACTTGCTTTCGTTAGTCCTTCACGACTCTCTGGTTAGGGTCCTAGAGATGGTGCAACACAGAGGCTAAAGACGTTATTAAAAACGGCTCAGAATAAAGGCCAGTGGCGATCCTACTTTCTTCATAGTACAAGGAGGCACCAAATACATATGTGCCACATAAATCATTTGATTTGTGTGAGGGCTGAGATACTGCCCGGGTGCTCAGACCGAAGCAGGTGGTTTACTTAGGGGGCCACACCCCGAAAATGAACTGAGAGAATTATTCGGTTGTATTTTTGCTAAGAGAACTGTTTCTTCTATTATCACCATTATTAGTATTATTATCATTATTTCACTAATATACACTGATTGTTGCTCGTTGTTGTTCTTTTATTATACGCACTTTACATTCTCTATCTCTTCACAACCTCATTGTTATTGTGTGGTGCATATGTATTTGGTGCCCCCACGTACCAATGTTTGTGTTCAAATAAATAAATACATACTAGAACTATGGCTGATATCAGTTTGTAATGAAAGCCTTATCCTTGATTCCTAATCCCGAAACCTAGTCTAAACCCCCTACCCAGACGTATGACGTGAACTCTTAGTCCTAAATCTTTCCCCTTTATTGTTGGAAATCGGATATGGAAAGGTTCAGTATTTGTACCAAAATTCCTGATCCTATGTAGTTTTGCCACCTTTTTTATATCATAAGTCGCCTCATGACAGCAAAATGATTTCTGACTGATTAATGCAACAATCGAAGTTATTTGGAATCTCTAAAGTCGTTCATGCATTTTACTTCTGCCATGTAAATCAACTTCACATTTGAGTAGATAAGTCAATTACCATTCAACTCTGAAAAATACCAACGCAGTTTATCTGGGACATACTGCCGGAAACGTATGTACATCGCAGAACTAGTTCTAAGCACTATTTAAAGGGAAAGATTATTCCCATGACCTGAATTTTTGAGGTTATAATACTTCTCAAGCTCAACTCACACATGTGACTTTGAAACACGTTTTGGACTCGTTTGACTACGAGTAATTCTATCCAGCTTTCGAAAATGGGAATCATTTATAAGGGGTAACACTTTAAAGTGCATCCACAGACGACGTCATTAAAGCAAGAAGTAGAATTTAGTTTGAAACCGACGATTAAATCATGACTAAAATTGACTTTTATTCTTCGCAATACAAACTTAAAAAGCGGATCCATGGTGAATTACATCGAAAACAAGCCTGATTATCCCTTAAAAAACCCTTAAACCGAATTTCCTGAATCTATTCAAACCATGATAGGGACTGAAGGTAAAGTGGAAAAGCTACCAAGGAGTTGTTTAGATAGTGTATAATAGACTTGAAGAAAGTACAGAGACACCATAATTTATGTTCGAACCAATAAAATTAAAGGCTGCAAGTCTTGGGATGTGGTGCAAATTTATTCATCCATACAGATAAATAGCATTTCAGTATGATGCCAGGTATCAGTTTATGATGAAAAGCCTTATATGACATATTAAACTTAAATTCGAGATCTAGATTTCAGTTCTATCTCCCTCATACTTATTAAAAATCTATTTTAACTTTGTTAGACACATGGGTTGTCTCAAGGTCACTTCGGCGTCGCTCAAAGATCGTTTATAAAGTATGGTCTCAACGAGAAATATTGTTATACACAATATGATAAAACAGCTACTTACTTCAAGATTTTTGAGGGAGAATACCCTTGATACTAGAGGAATTCCGAACGCCAAAGTCTTCCCACTTCCCTAAAAGAGGAAGTTAATAAAAAGTGTATAAACATCGTATACTGTTGGCGCTGATCCAAGAACATCGGAGAAACTGTGGAGTGCAGGAGGTATAGCTGCAGTTTGTATAGGTGTGGGATGTTCTAAGCCACAATCACTGATTGCCTTCACAATATAATTTGGGAGATTAAGAGAATCCCAACCCATCACTGTAACACGACAACCTTGAGGATTCGAAAATTTGCGGTTATCCTATATGGTTCAAATAATTCAAATGTTTTTAGACGAATAGAAGAGACTTTTGCCTAATGGGCCTCCATATATATTAACAGTGAGTCAAAGATACCTCTATGTAGGAATCTAGGTATATAATCGATGAAAGAAGAAAAGAAAAAACGTAAGTAAATCATAGTAAGATACTGTCTTTAGTCCTTAAGAATATGTCGTTTTCTCTCGATGTACTGCTGGAAAGTAGCTTACACTAGCTCATCCGGTAGAGTATTCCTGAATTTGATCAATCTTGAGGAGTAAAAGGTGTGTATGCACTCCGTTCTGTTGTGTTGTCTCCAGTTTCTGGGTGTAACCCCTAAAATTTGTATTGAAGCTAAACTTAAGTAGGTGTTTAAACTGGTGGCCAGAAGTGTTAAGGGTGCCTTAAGTCACTGCGAGTTCAAAACAGACGTCTTTGCTCAGTGATTGAACGTGCCATTCATAACACTTGAATTTGAGTCCTCGAGCCGATTTCGTGACTCATCGTTAGATACGTTCCACAGTGTCATTATTCTTATGAAGTAAGAATGAGTAGCAGATAGCTGCGAAGGAGGAAGAGTGTGAAGAAATTAAGACAGAAAGAAGAGGAAAGGAACTTAATAATAACACACGCTACAAGAATACAAATAATCTGTAGTCCCGAAGTCATAGATGAAGAATAGAGCCCTTTGAAGAAGATACTTATCAAAAACGGATATCCTTCGATATTCATTGATAAGAACATGGAACCAAAAACGCCGAAAACGCAAACAATTGCAGTAGAAAAAAGAACATTATACATGAAAATCTGCTTTAATGGTGACAGAGCTGCATAAATCCTAAAGAGGAGAATTTCTGATTCTTTAAAAAGAACATTCTTCTCAGCAACATTTCGAATAGTATTCTCCACCCGATCATCGTTCGCCAGTAATTCTTAAGATAAATTATCGCATCTGACCAACTCAATGTGCATTTATCAATTAACCTGCTCATGTGGAGCTAGGGTAGGGAAATCTTTCGACGCGTACTTTATCCAAAAGAAATATCTGGCTTGGATGAAAAGAGGAGGAAATGGCTCAATAGAAGCTCAATAATCGAACACCTTGTGAATACATGTCATTCAATCAAGACAGACTCTGTGTTCAAAATCATCTACAAAGTAAGTAGAAGTCTTCCAACGACAATTAGATTGCATCTTCTTTGTATTGCAGAAGCAATAGCCATACAGATGGAAGAACCAGAAATGTGTGTGCAAAAGACATTGGTACAACCTCTTCTTCTACCATGAACTTGATGTCTTATATTTTTTTCGGTTTTCTGCGTTCGTTTTTTCTTCCTTTCTTCATACTCTTCCTCCTTCGCAGCCATCTGCTTCAACATCCATCTTCCCCTAAATCTACCCTAACTGGTATATTTCTGTTTCTACGATCATCCTGATTACATTCAATCTCAATTTCAACGTTTTATTTTATCATGGTGAACCATCCTTTACCAAGGATAATTTCCCTGCCTAACTTTTGATGAATACTTAAGCCATTAACAGTCAAATGGTTCTTAAACTTTCCTTCTTTAAACATTTTTCAATACCTTTGTTTATTTTGCCTCACTGTCACCATGTCTAACAGGACTTTATTATCAGTATTATAATTATTACCATCCTGTAAAATAAGTATATATAGTTGCGGCTGTACAGCTTTAAAAATGAATTCACCGAAAAGAAAACTCTTCGCTGAACTAATCTTTCTTAGTAATGAAACTGCAGTAATATCTAATGTGTTTATGAAAATCTAGTACAAATCAGATTATTTGTTTTGGCTTGATTCTTAGTGTTTCGGTCTGATGTTGAGTCTCTAGTATCGTCGAAGGAAGGTGATTTAACCATTCCATTAACCGCACACAAAGCAACTTGAGAAGTTAGACTTTTTCACACTGACTTGCCATGGAGTGGGAAGTAATTTGATCTTGATGCACAGAATAATAAGAATTGATTATGAACATATTATATCTTCACTGTTCGTTCAATTTAGATCAGAACAACTCAGTGGACATAACAGGCATGTACGAAAGCCAATAACGAACAAAATACTCTTGATATTCAGGTTTTCACAGCGAGTCATCAACCATTGGATACTGATACCCGACGCAATGGTGTCCGGATCATCAACTGACTCATTCAGGAGAACACTTGACACTCAAAAACCTTCAAGAGAAGGACTAATACAGGACGTGGGCCTTCTGACTCTAAAGCACCAGTCTAGAACCGAACCTGAATTATAGATTATTTTCTCTTATGAGTTTTCCTTGAGTTGAATGAGTCATAAAAATAAATAATTTTGTATGCCGTCAACAACGATGCAGAATTTATTAGTTTTACCGGACATACCGTAGCTGATGGCGGTTGGTCAGGCATCCTCAACAGATCATCGTTTGAAAGGACATGCCATACATCCTTCACAACAGCCAGTCACCTCAGCCCAATTACTCCTCAACAAATTGATATATTTCCAAACATATATTCGACGCCCTCCTTCCTGACTTCTGTTTTAAATGGGTTAAGGATTTCCAATTAAGAGTGCATAACGGACAACGGCCCAGTCAATCACGGAATATAAGTGGCATTTTCAGTCACATCTGATATGAAAACCCACCTAGATTGGTAGGACAACAGTAGGAAAGCCCAAACACACACCCTGATGTCAGCTGACCTCAGTCAACAATCTATTATGAAGGACATAGTTACAGTAATCCTGCCAGGGGATACTCCGTAAAGGCAAATCGTTCGGAAGCAAGAACCAAATTGTGGACTAATATCTGCCTAAAATGTCGAAGACGGGTGACTCCGTTAATGAGAACCAAATGATCAAACTTACCAACAAATGCCTCTATAACAGTGTGTTAATAATAAGGCGTAATCTAGAAGTCAGTAACATGTGCTATCCACCGAAATCAAGGATGACGAGTTACCAAGGTGACAGAAACATTCTGAGGGGCTTCCATGACCACGCCACAATGTACTTCATAGGAGTGTACAGTAACTTCTCAGTTACTAACACGAAATTTGTTTTCTTAGAATTCGAAGTTTTTTCTTTATTATTGTTCACATTGCAATCAATCAACCTCCTGCTTGGAAATTCGATGGATTCTAGTATCCAGAAATCCTATTTTTCTGAAGCAAACACGCTCATTCAACTGCAAGGACCCAGCGCGAACTTTGAAAGTGGTAACATTTTTTTACACGTGGTTTAGGAATTCTTCGACTTGCTCTTTTGTAGGGTGTATTATAATGTGATTATCATCCTATCCTGTACATCGGGAACATCTCACCTCGAAACATAAGAAAAAACTTATTTTTATTCGACGGACAATTACCAGTTCGTATTGTACCTATTGCGGACTTAAGTCGTAAATAGGTCTGCAATTTATTATATACTCACAGTCTCTAATCCTAATATTAACCAGGTTAATACTTAATAACAACTAATACTCAGATATTATATTTAATTTAACGAGCACTGTGCTCACTTATATTCATATCATGTCCAATAACTCCAGTAAAAGAGGAATTTCACCAACTTCTAAGCCAAATAAAAGGTCCAAATCTTTAACCCCTACAACTGACGACTCAGTGCTTGACAATGTCAAACCTTTAACTACTGAAAAATATGTGCATTGTACACAAATGTCCCTATCGTCACCAGATTCTCCATGTCGCAGCCCCTCTATCTTTACGTGCAGTATGCCAACGGTAAGACTGATTGACATACATGACACTATGCCTACGTGCATTGAAAAGTCAGCACAGTCTACTAAACAGTATGTGCTGCCAAGGCCTAAGTCTAAAATTTCAAAAACTAAAGAGTCCAATGGTCCACCTCATACGCACCAAAATACTGATAGATATAGTAATGACATCCGACAGCTACAAAACTCTCTATCCGAAATTAACGGCAAACTTGAGCAATTAGCACCCCTCACTCATATATGGGGCCTTGACACAGACAGAAATCTTGAGCAACTCACTAAAGCTGAGTGTATTTTGGAGTTTGTGGCTGAAGAAGTGACGAAGAGAGTAATGTCCTCCTTCAATGCAGTTGTGTATAACCTCCCCGACCGCACACACCCATCTAAGTTAAGAGATATTTACCTTAGAGCATGCGGTATGCCGAACGTTAACTGCAAAGTCATCCGCCTTAGAAAAAAGTCAGACAGATCGACTTGCCCCCTCTTGTTTATGTTTGGCTGTTGTAACGATGCTAAGCAGTTTATTGATTTGAGCAAAAACATTAGCTCACTAATTCCATACAAAAATATAAAAGTCACTCCAGACCTTACGCCCTGTCAACGTCGTGTAAGAAGACGCAAAGCGATAGAATTGAATGGGAGTGTTACAGTTAATAATCAGCCAGAGACAGTTTGCAACACAGCAAATAGTTTAAAACACACGAACATTAAGCATGACACCACTCCACATACGGCTGATCACTCTGTTGATCTAGATGAGTCTACAGATCAGAAACCTTTGGATAAGATACGGACCCCAACTGACACCAAAAACCATAACGACATGACTAATCCCAGCTGTTCATTCAGTAATGTACTAAAATGTGAGTCGTGTAACAACACATGTGCAACTAAGCCTATACACTTGAAAATTTGTCCTCCTAAAGACATTCCACAAGTAGACTTGAAAGAACGTAAGTTTATCTCACAAAGACAACGAAAGAATCCTGCTCTGAAAATAAAGGGTGGGAAGACAAAACTCATGATACCGAATAGGGAAACATGTAAGATTGAACCCAACTGCTCTATAGGTATCCCAAGAACAGTGAACAGGTTCTCCCTGCTGCTATCGTATAACTTGCCTTCAACACCTCCAAGTTGCAAAAAGGGTGGTGGGCTTCAACGTAGCAAGCCTTCTTACACGCAGACTAACGAAAAGTACCAGAGAACTGGCCACCCAAATCACCCCCTGAAGCCTAAAACCATAAATAAGAACGGTAATA